CTCTTCCAGTCGGTTGGCCAAGTAGCTATCTTCCAAATTTCTTGGCATAAACAAGTGAGCACTTCCAGTGCTGCATTCATTTGTTGAAACATCTCAATGGGTATTCCATCAATTCCTGGAACCTTGTTTTTTGCCAATTCTTTCAGTGCATCTTGAACTTCTTCCTTCAGTACCATTGATTCTTGATCATATGCTACCTCCTGAAATGGTTGAACATTGACCAGTTCTTTTTGGTACAGTGACTATGTATTCTTTCCATCTTCTTTGGATGCTTTCTGCATCATTCAATATTTTGCCCATAGACTCCTTCAGTATTGCGACTCAAGGCTTGAATTTTTTCTTCAGTTCTCTCAGCTTGAGAAATGCAAAGCATGTTCTTCCATTTTGTATTTGTAACTCCAAGTCTTTGTACATACATTTCATTATTTTACTTTGTCTTCTCAAGCTGCCCTTTGAAATTAGTTCAGCTCTTTTACTTCATTATTTCTTCCATTTGCTTCAGCTACTCTCCATTTAAGAGCAAGTTTCAAAGTCTCTTCCGACATCCATTTTGGCCTTTTCTTCCTTTCCTTTCTTTTTAATGACCTTTTGTTTTCTTCATGTATGATATCCTTGATGTTATCCCACAACTTGTTAGGTTTTCAGTCATTGGTGTTCAGTATATCAAATGTATTCTTCAGATGATCTTGAAATTGAGGTGGGATATATTCAAGGTTGTATTTTGGCACTCATTGATATGTTTTAATTTTCTTCAGCTTCATCTTAAAGTTGTATATGAGCAATTGATGATCTGTTCTACAATTGGCCCCTGTCCTTGTCTTGACTGATGATATTGAGCTTCTCCATCTTCTCTTTCCACAGATGCAGTCGATTTTGTTCTTGTGTATTCCATCAGGGTATATACACCATTGGAGTTCTGGTGTGTAGTGCCTAAGGCATTTAACTGCTAACCAGAAGGTTGGTGGTTCAAATCCACCAGCAACCCCTCAGAAGGAAGATTGGGCAATCTACTTCCATAGAGATACTGCCTCAGAAACCCAAGGAGGGGTCACTATGAGTTGAATCAATTTGACTCGATGGCTGTGAGTTTGTTTTATATACACCATAATGGATATATCCCATAAACGGGTATTGTTGTTTTTACGTGCCGTCGAGTCAGACCTGACTCATAGCGACCCCTCCTTGGGTTTCTGAGGCAGTAATCACTATGGAAGTAGATTGCCCCATCTTCCTTCCGAGGAGTGGCTAGTAGGTTTAGCATAGTGGCTAAAGCACTTGACTGCTAACCAGAAGGCTGGCAGTTCAAACCCACCAGCCACTCCTTGGAAGGAAGGTTGGGCAATCCTACTTCCGTAGTGATACTGCCTTGGAAACCCAAGGAGGGGTCGCTATGAGTTGGGGCCGACTCAACGGCACATAACAACATAAACGGGTATAGTTGTTGTTTATGTTGTTGACAAAAGGTATTTGCAATGAATAAGTCCTTGATCTTGAAAATTCTATCATGTGATCTCTAGTGTGATTTCTATCACTAAGGCTATGTTTACCAACTACCCATGCTTCTTTGTTTCCAACTTGCACATTCTAATCACCAGTAATTATCAACACATCTTGATTGCATGTTTGGTCAATGTCAGACTACAGAAGTTGGTAAAACTCTTCAGTTTCTTCATCTTTGGCTTTAGTGTTGGTACGTAAATTTGAATAGTAGTCACATTAACTGGTCTTCCTTATAGGCATATGGATATTATACTATCGCTGACAGCACTGTACTTCAGGATAGATCTTGAAATGTCCTTTTTGTTGATGAATGTGATGCCATTCCTTTTCAATTTGTCATTCCTGGCATAGGAGACCATATGATTGTCAAGCTCAAAAGGGCCAATACCAGTCCCTTTCAGCTCGTTGTTGTTGTTTTGTGCTGTGGAGTCAGACCTGACTCCTTGGGTTTCGGAGGTGGTATCACTATGGAAGCAGATTGCCCAGCCTTCCTTCTGAGTAGTAGCTTGATGGGTTTGAACCACCAGCCTTCTGGTTAGCAGTCAAGTGCCTTAGGCACTACGCTACCAGAGTGTATCGATCTTTATGCATTCCATTTAATTTTTGACAACTCTCAATTTTCCTGGATTCATACCTCATGCATGCCACATTCCGATTATTAATGGATGTTTGCAGCAGTTTCTTCTTATTTTGAGTTGTAACACATGAGCAGATGAAGGTCGAGGAGCTTTACTCCATCCACATCATTAAAGTCAATTCTACTTTGAGGAGGCAACTCTTCCCCAGTTGTATTTTGAGTGCCTTCCAACCTGAGCAGCTCCTTTTTTGGCAGTATATCACACAGTATATTCATAAAATTTTCAGTGTCCAGTTTTTTCAGAAGTAGACCTAGCCAAGTCCTTCCTAGTCTGTCTTAGTCTGGAAGCTCTGCTGAAACCTGTCTGCCATAGGTGACCTACTGATATTTGAAGAACCAGTGGCATAGCATCCAGCATCACAGCAACATGCAAGCCACCACAGTATGACAAACTGACAGACAAGTGGTGGACTGAGGTAATTAAGAGTTTGTAATAATGTAGTCAGGAGTTGTTCTATGTTTGAAATTTGTTGTTGGTGTAGTAACCAATGTTGGTTGAGGTTTATTCTTCTATGGACACTAGAGGCTTCAACTTCCTCTAATGACTTCATTTTTCCCTCCCTTCTTCCCTTTGTGCTATTCCCCAGAGAGAGTCTGTCTCTTGCAGCTCCCCGGCTGTAATCCACTGTTGTTGCTAGAGACATTTTAGTGTGGTGTTATGACAGAGAGAAGGAGTGTACTGTCTAATTCTCTGATTAAGTCCCAGTTTTCAAGTACACAGTATGCCTGGGTCACAGGTATGGCTTTCACAAATGTTTCTGTCCCTCCAGGAATAGAGCTTTTCTCCTCTTGCCCACCTTTCTCCAACTGCAGGGGATATCCACCAGTATCCTGTCTTTGGTCTTAAAAATTTCCCCTTGCAGATTAATGCTGAATCTGGACAGAGTGGTTCTTTTCCCCCAGCTGCGATAGTGTGCCCTTAGGCTACAGGTCCTAGATGACCTTTTTTCTACAAATTACACCTAAACCTGTTCTTCTTTAAGGGATATTAGAAGACAGGGGAACACCAAAAAGAGCTTTGAATTTTCATTACCTGCCCTGTGAGGCTGGCGGGGGCTCTTGGAAGAAACACCTGCACAGGAGTGGTAACATGCCTATGCCTTTGGCCCCAGGAGTTCCTGGAAGAGCTTCACACTCTCTTGCTAACCTACATTTGGCCTCCAGAATTTGTTAAGTTTCTAGTTTAATCTTCCCAGGCAGGAGGCTTCTGCCTCAAATTAGTAAATCCTTGGCTCCTGTGCTCCATGAAGGCACCCTTCTGTCTCCGGATTTGCAGACGGCTGCTTGTCTTGTGACCTCGGGCCTGGTGGGTTCACAAGAAATTGTTACTTTGCTGTCTGTCCAGCTTTTTTCTTGTTGCAAAATGGGAGGCTATGTCTTTCTACTTTTCTACATCTCCAAGCCCCTGAGTAGTGCAGACCATTAATAAACTCTGCTGCCAGTGCTTTGAGTCTATACAAAGATGCCTCAGAAGAATGGCCTGGTGATCTTCCAAAAACATCAACCATTGAAAACCATGGAGCACGATTCTACTCTGACACAGATGGGATCACCATAAGTTGGAATCAACTTAATGGCAATCATGTAACTGGTTTACATCTCTAAACTAAGTGTGGAATTCCTTTAATTTATCTGGAATTCTCATTTTTCCGTAGCTTTCCAAATGGGTAGCCAGTTGTCCAAACATGATAGATGGAATGAGAAGTCCATTTTCTTTCACTGAGAATTGTCACCTATCTTTTATCATATGCAGTGTTAAATTCTGATACACACACACACACACATACACACAGGACTGTTTTCAGACTTTATTACATCCCAGTGATCCACATGTCCCATTTCTGAACCACGGTGTTAGATTACTTCATTTTGTAATGTTCTAATGTCTGGTAGGATACTTGACCTTCAGTGTTCTTCATTTTAAAATTTGACTTGACTGTTCCTAAAGATAGAATCTCTGGTGGCGTAGAGCCTAAAGCATTTGACTACTAACCAGAATGCTGGCAGTTCCAACCCACCAGCCACTCCTTGGAAGGAAGATTGAGCAATCTACTTCCATAGAGATACCACCTCAGAAACCCAAGGAGGGGTCACTATGAGTTGGAACCAACTCCACGGCAGTGAGTTTGGTTTGGTTTGGATTCCTGAAGATTTTCTCTTTTCAGATATATTGTTCATCTTGTCAACTCTGAATCTCTATTAGAATTCAGTTGAGATTGCACTGGATTTATGGGTGGAATTATGGGTAGAAATGACATCTTTTCAATATTGACTTCTTCCTGCCCATTAACTTACTTATCATTATCATTTACATAAAGAAATTTAATATTTATCTTTATAATACTCTTCTACATTGTCAGAGCTCCCCAACCAGAATGTACCAGAAACCCACTTAGAGTCAAAAAAAGTTAGGTTTGTTTCGCTTGCTGCAGCAAGGGAAAACATATCGTAGAACTCAAGCGTATCATGATAACGTCTCAATAAGGTGAATTGGAAAGGTTTCTCATAAGATTGGGGCTTATACTGGACAATTCAAAGATAGATTAAAGAAGCAAAGGCCACTTGGGATTATGATCTCTGTGGAAATACATACTGCTAAAAGGCTCAGTTTTGAATATGGGGTAGGTTGTTCTCTCCCCAGTTAAAAATAATTTGCTGAAATGAAATCTGACTTCTTTTAGCAATGTTAAATATTACATGCTGTATGTAAGAATGGTTCAGTACTAGGTTTTACCTAGTAGCAAAGTGAGCATTCATTTCTGTGCAGCAGTATATAAGTGGGAGTACAATCTCCTTTTTTTCCTCTTAACAGCATGGTGGTTGGATTAAAATTCTTCTGTGTATTTTTTTTACCCCTCTCTAGCAAAATCCTTTGTATGACACAGAAAGATGCAAGGTATTCCAGTGTGACCTAACTAAAGATGACCTCCTGGAACACATGCCCTTAGAGTCTGTGGATGTTGTCATGTTGATATTTGTGCTCTCAGCTATTCACCCTGACAAGATGCACCTTGTCTTACAAAATGTTTATAAGGTAAGCAATTTGAAGCTGCACTTGAAGATTAGACGTACCTTTTATTTCACTTCCCTCTGAGGCTTACATACCGTGTGTATTTGCAGAGTTCTGCCATTCTCACTGGGTAAGCCGTGTAGTCAGTGCATGCTTGGAAAGGACATAAAATGTTCACCTTACTTCAGGTTTGTGCAGTGGCTATGGCTGCTCTTCAGAGCTTGGCCAGCTTGTTATTGAGACAGTAATAACCAAATCATAGAATTTGACAAGGTTAAATGAGGTATGTATAAAGTGCTAGCACAACACCTAGAAATGCTTTTAAAAACCAGTCATCATAATTGTTGGGGTGGTTATTGTTACTACCACTGTTGTACTGGAGTGGGGAGAACCCAAACTTCTGTGGCCCCCAGAAAGTGGCCTTAGCACACAGGCAGTAAAGCTTTACTCGGTAGTGTTGTGATAAGCCACCTTGGCTTCCATGTCTCAGCCTCAATTTCCTTGTCTATAAATGGTGGTACTTCTTACGGAGTTATTGTGAGATACTGGTGAGATGTATGTGTGAAGGTATTTTGTAAGCTACAGCAGAAGCTCTCTTATGTATACAAACAATTGGTAACAATGTTTCTTAATTTTTAAAAAATCAACTAAACCAAGAGATTATTGAAATGATACATTCTTAAACATTTATTTTAATTTACAAAAGCATATATTCAGTCATCACTTTTTTGACTTTCAGCCAAGGCCTTTTCTTTGAGTGTGAGGCCATTTATTTTTTATGCATAACCACACACATAAGGTACTTTTGGTTTCTTTAAAAGTGAAACAAGTACTTAAAAACAATTGGAAAGTAATCAGAGGGCAGTCTTCTATGTTTTTACCCAGACTTTTCACGATTGATTCTCCTGCACTTATTTAAACAGCAGTTTGTTTAGTACTTCTTTATCAAGGAACAAATTCAGCTTACTTTTCATAGAATATAAAAATACTTTCTACTCACATTCATATTTTATTGTGTATATACTCCCTTAATAAAGTAACAGTTGTAAAACCAAATACAATTGGCATAAGCAAGTTTGGGAGCAAACCCAAGTGATTCATGGTGAGTGTGCAGTTCAAGGTGTGGAAGAGGTGTCACTAAAGCGTAAGGGTGCATGATCTAGAAAGCCTACCAGCCTCAAATGTTCAATGAGTCATGAACTTCAGCCCTTCTGCCTTACACAGTAGAGTATTCAGCAAGTTGGGAAAGTAGATGTTTATTAAAAGAGCTTTTATTGTATTTAAAGCTATACATCAAAATTTAACCCTTTTTTTTTTTTTTTTTAAATTAAAGCAAGTAGTAGGGTAGAAATTCTAAGACACAGAAACCTATTAGGTAATTATTTTCACTTAAAGCAGTATTTTTGGTCATTCATATATTACCACATAGGTTTTAGCCCTCTGCCTGTGAGGTTTGGGCAAGTTTCTTCTTCCCTTCCCTTTCCTGTTGATGATATCTGAGCAGATCAGAACCAATATATACCCCCAAAGGGGCATGATAGTTTAGCTGGGTAAAGGAGAAGGAAGGAATGCATTAGGCAGGGTTTTCCAGAGAAACAGAACCAATGAAGGACGTGTGTGTTCATGTATATGTATGCACATATGCATGTGTGTGTGCATGTAAATAAAGAGAGATAGTATAAGGAGAGATTGGTTGATTATAAGGAATCAGCTCATGCAGTTGTGGGGCTGGCAAATCTGAAATATATAGGGCAAGTAAGCAGGCTGAAAACTCAGGCAGGGTTTGATGCTGCCATCTTGAAACAGAATTTCTTCTTTCCCAGGAAACCTGTTTTTCTTCTTAAGGCCTTCAGCTGATTGCCTGAAGCTTACCCACATGATCCAGGGTGATCACTTAAAGTCATGCGATTGTAGATGTTAACCACATGTACAAAATACCTTCACAGCAACACCTAGATTAGTATTTGATTAACTGAATAGTGTAGCTTAGCAAAGTTGACACCTAAAATTAACCATCACAGAGAGCATCAGGGCAAAGATGGTAGGATTAGTGATTTGGAGGTCCAGGTGAGTGTGAATGATTATTAAAGGTGGGGAACTAGAGACAGAAAGCTGGAGAGATGGAAGGGTAGTCACAGAGCTTACATGGCATTGAGAATATGGAGGGATTACACTTAGTGTTGGCAAAGTCTAGGATGTGACTGAATGGAGGGTGGAGGACAAAGTCTTTGGAAGAGAGAAGCTGCAATCAGGAAGAGACTAGCATATTTAGGAAGATAACCCACATATGTATTGAACTTGCCCAGAATTAAGAATGGTGTAGCACTGAGGATAGAACAGTAAGCCAGAAGATAAACTCATCAGGAAGTGACCCTGGAACTGATAGATGACAGTAAAGAGAAGGAATGATGGATGATGTAATTTGATGAAAGAGATTCAGACCTGAGGAAAGTAAGGAGAACACCAGCCCCATTTAGGCCAATTTGTATAAGATTCATGGGAGAAAACACAGCCATGACCTGAGAAGTTTGCAGAGAAAACTGTGTCTTTAGGGGATAGCCGGTTTCTTTTCAAACAAGAATGGGAAGTGTGTTTTCAGAAGATGTTGTGGATAACCAGTGATTTCACTGATGAATGGTTTCAGGAATTAGGGAAGAGTGGGAGATAGAAAGAGGATAAGGAATAGAGTCTTAAGGGAATTGAAGTGCCTGCTATCAATTCTTCTATACTGCATTATACTTGTTGTTGTTGTTTGCCATCGAGTCGGCCTCAACTCATAGCGACCCCTCCTTGGGTTTCCAAGGCAGTATCACTACGGAAGTAGGAATGCCCAACCTTCCTTCCTAGGAGTGGCTCGTGGGTTTGAACCGCCAGCCTTCTGGTTAGCAGTCAAGTGCCTTAGGCACTATGCTACCAGAGCTCCTATACTAGAGGTCCTCAAACCAAACCAAACTCACTGCGACCAAGTCAATTCCAACTCATAGCAACCCCCATTGAGTTTCCAAGGCTATAAATCTTTACGGAAGCAGACTGCCTCATCTTTCTTCTGTAGAGCAAGTGGTGGGTTTGAGCTGCCGACCTTTTGGTTAGCAGCCAGATACCTTAACCACTACACCACCAGAGCTCCTTTTACTGGAGATCCTACTTAGCTCAAAAAGACAAGAGAAATAAAGATTTAAGAATGACAAAGAAAGAAATTTGTAGACAGTTGTTGTTGTTATGTGCCATATGGTCGTCTAAATAGAAAATAGTAAAGGAATTAAAAAAGTATAAGAAGTAGTTAGAAATTTAACAAAGGCTGGATATAAGATCATTATGCAAAAATCAACAGGTAATACAAAATGTAACTTTAAAAAAAAATGTTCTGAATAGCAATATAAAAATAAAATGTACCTAGAATAAATTTGTGTGTTCTGGTGGTACAGTGGTTAAAGCATTTGGCTGCTAATTAAAGGTTGGTGGTTCAAACCCACCAGCTGCTCCATGGGAGAAGGATGAGGCAGTCTGCTTCCATAAAGATTTATAGCCTTGGAAACCCTGTGGGGTAGTTCTACTCTGTCATAGCATTGCTGTGAGTTAGAATTGACTCAACGACAGTGGGTTTGGTTTTTGGTTTTTTTAATAATGGGTATGTGAGACCTGTACAGAGTAAATTAGATAGTTTTATTGAGAGACATTAAAGAAAATTTATATAGAGATAAATACTATGTTTATGAATAAATAGCTTCTTTTTATGAGCTATACAATCCCAATAAAAATTCCAAAATTTTTTTTTTTTTTTTTTGAGAAAAATGGCAGGTGGATTCTAAAGTCATAGAAACAAAAAAGGTCCAATAATGGCCACAACACTTCTGAAAAATAATGTGGTGGAATTTATACATTATCAGATATAAAGATTTATTAAGGCTGTAGTGATTAACACAGAATGGTATTGGCGGAGGAGACAGACAAATTGACCAAGGAAATGTGATGAGTGCTTAGGAATAGATCCACACATACGTGGAATTTCATGTATGATAAAGATGACATTGAAGATCATTAGGAAAGGAAGGGCTACTTAATAAAAAATGGAACGACCAGTTATCCATGTGGGAAAAAATGCAGTTTGATTCATACTTCACACACTATAGAAAAAAATCATTCTCAGGTGAATTAAAACTTAAATGGGAAAGATAAAATTTTAAAACTTTCAGGAGAAAATCTTTATGACCTCGTTTAGGGATACATTTTCTCAGTGCCTCAAAGCATTCTAAACATAAAGATGATTAACTATAATAAAATTAAGAGTTTCTGTTCTTCAAAAGACAATATAATACAGAGAAACTGAAAAGGCAAGTTGGAAAAAGAAATTTATAGTCCATACAACTGACAAAAGATTAATATACAGAATATGTAAAGAATTCCTTTGTATCAGTAAGAAAAAAAAAAAAATTCACTGCCATCAAGTCAATTCCCACTCATAGCAGCTTCTATTGGGTTTTCAAGGCTGTAAATCTTTATGGAAGCAGACTGCTGCATCTCTCTTCTACAGAATGGCTGGTGGGTTTGAACAGCTGACATTTTGTTTAGCAGCCAAATGCCTTACTTAACCACTACACTCCCAGAGCTCCTATCGGTAAGAAGGACAATTCAATTTTAAAAATGGGCAGACAGGATTTGTCATTTTATAGCAAAGAGCACATATAGGGCCAATTAGCATATGAGACGATAACCTCAATCTGGGCAATAATGAGACACTTAGATTAGCAAAATTAAGAAATCTGACAAAGCCAGGTATTGATGAGGATGTGGATCAGTAGGATTCTATATACTTTTCTGGTAGGAGTATAAATTGGTATAACCACTTTGGAAATCAGTTTGACATTATTTTGTAGAATTGATCATTTTTGTTAATACGGACCAGACTTCTGCTCCTACATATATTCCCTAAAGAAATTCTTACTCAGCAAGAGACATATAGGTGAGTGTTTGTGACAGCCATGTTCATAATAGCAAAAAACTAAAAATAACTCAAAAGTCCCATG